AAAAAAAAAAAAAAAAAAAAAAAAAAAAGAAAAAAGAAGAAGAAACGGGCATTCGTTGCGTGTAAGTCTTCGACCTAATTCACTTATTACCATTGTGAAGTTCCTCTTTTCATTTCCATCGATACAAGCAAAAAGTCGGAACGATGTTCATTATTTTTCAATATTATGCAATCGTTCGTTAAAATTTCCAGTCGGAAGCTAGTGCTTTACTTGAGGGCGATACGAGGGCGGGGATCGCAGGACGAGCACGAAATTTGAGGCACGACGTGCAACGGAAGATTTCAAGGTTGCGTCAGGACCGCACATCATCCGAGGCGTTCCCGTGCAGCGCGAGCAGCGTGGAAAGTCTCCCAAGCGGAAGTGGCTCGAGCACGCAGGCACTTGTGCGTGCAGGAAGCAATCACAGCTCGATATCCTGCGAAGACAGGGATGCTATCAGTCCAACGTCTATCGGGCCTGTACTTTGCAGAGCCAGGGCTCTGGTCGATTATACGCCTAGCCCTTATGACAAGGAAGCACTAAAGTTTAAGGTTTGTTTGCAAACTATTATCACAAATGACTTAGCCGTTACAGAAATTTACATTGCTTATTTCTATATTATAGTATAATTTCTATATTATAGTATAATTTCTATACAGGTAGCTTTTATAATCTTATGCTAGTAATTTTTCAAATATAAAATGTATTCATGTCATTATATCTTGGACTATGGATGTTCATGAATTTTTAGGAACAAAATTCTTTACACAACGTATATAATTTGCAAAAATGTATAAAATGTCTAATGTAGAGCTTTTAATATGGTATTTATAGGTTTTATTATGCTAACATCTGAGGTCCAATTATATTTGTTATTTTATTATAATAAAAATTCGAGCATATCTGGAGTTATTTAAGAGAAAAAGAAATTTACAGTTGAGTGATTTTGTGGGAATACATCATAATATTCATTCTATATACACGCAAATATTCATGATACACAATAACTCTCAGATTAGTTTAATCACAGACATGTTTGCATGTGCGCTCCTGTATGTCTGTGATTGATACGAATCCTTGAACAAGCACGTATTCATGAATTATATCTCAATTAATTTGTTTAATTTAAATGGCTTTCAAGTAATCAATTATTGCGTGATCAAAGTATTATAACGCATTATGTTAAATCGCCATATATATTAAATAGCACTATGTAGTATCATTTCACTATTGTTCAAAATCTTGACATTTGACACTTTCGTGATGCAAACGTACAATATTTTAATGCAAATAATAGATTAGACTCAATTAAAACTAAAATGGACACTTCAAATGAGCAGCTTATTACTTGTCCCTTATTTTGTTCATTATGTTCATTTCCACGCCCTAAGAACGTATTAATGAGTAAGTATTGATAATAAATAAACCCAAAGATTGCATTCGATATAAAACTCATAATAATTATTTGTAACTGTCAAATGCACACATTGGATAGTAAAACCTCCAACACTGTTTTACTTTCCTCGATTTTTCTCTTATTTTGAATCGTAGAATCTCCGTCACCCTACCACGATTTAGAATCCACGATATATATTTTTATTTTTATATCTTTATATCATAAAACACCGAATCGATGATAACGTATAATGTAGAACTCAACTTTTTATGAGACAAAAATATTCATGAAACTCTTTTTCTGACAATACATACGTTCTTTACGAATAAACTTTCGTACAGAACATATGAAATAACTACTTCAATATGAATAAACTTACAGTAGAATTCCATTTATTCCAACGAAATGTTAATTCGTCTCCAATTAAATGATCTTCTATTTATTGCACCCAGTTATCCAAACGTGAGCTATTATTATGCATATAAATAAAAAAATCATAGATACTTAGTTGCAATCAGGTATATTTGTCTGCCAATGGTTTCGACTTATATGCAGTGACTATATAAAGTATTTATACATACTCTTACTTTCCCATGAAGTGTTTTTTAGGTTCCACATATCATTTTCATAGTATCAAATGTTTGTAATGATCCAAAGGTACTACTAACCGATATGAAATTTATTATAATCGGATCGAATTAATTGGCAAATAGATGCAATAATAAATGTACTGGGGGGGGGGGATATTTTTTGCAACCACTGTAGATACGGAACATATTTTTACCAAAGTAGCAAAACCAGCTGAAACACGCATATTGATCAACTATAGATCGCACCATATACGTACACCCTTGAAAAGAGTCCCTGCCAGAACTAGAAAGTATCGTTACTGCCAGAACTCGACGCTTACCTCCTCGTGAAAACAAACCCTTATTTCTCTTTTCCTCGATATTCCTTAGTCCTACATGACTTCACGATAATACCAGCTAGTGCGAACAGAAATACAAAGCGTCGAATCTGTTGGTTTCTTCGAATTAGAAGGCGCAAGAGTTCTCAATGTTTTCTCACGTGGAAAGCACCAAGCAAATTGCAACACGGTTTTTGTTGCAGAAGGGAGACATCATCGACGTGGTACAAATGAACAAGAGCGGCCTGTGGAAGGGTGTTTTGCACAACAGGATAGGCCACTTCAAGTTCATAAACGTCGAGATACTAAACGACAGGGTTCCAAGGCGCGGCGAACCCGAAGGCCGGGGGAAGTGGGGCCAGAGGTATAGGCAGAAGCCTGGTTCCGTTCAAGAGCTCTTGCAGAGAATGAATCTTCAGGTAGAGAGCAATATCTTGCCACGGCTCGAACAAACTGATTCGCATTTGCATCGCTTCGAATGCAAAGCAGGGAACCTTGCTTTTATACGTTTCTTTATTTCCTGGACTTCTCTCTTTTCATCCATATCCAACCTTCGCCCGCCCGCTCCCCTCGTTTCTTGCGTGCACCTTTTATACCGCGTACAATACACAGCACCACTGAAACGTCGCGTGTTCCTTTTTTTCGTCGACACTTCCCTTTTTTATATCCATCTGTTTCTTTCCATCCTTATCTTACCTCATCGATTCCATGTTTTCTCCCCTTTCCTTGTTCCTCCTTTTTTATTGGTCGGTGTTTTTAGTGATAAATGTGTACGTTCTTTCCTCGTAAATGGTGATATGGCGGGTGTTAGGAGATTTGTATTGGCTTCGAGATTTAAATCTGGTATATTTTTAAGAGGATGTTACGTTGATTTTTAAAAAAATAAAAGAGATGATTCAGATATAGTGGTTTTGTTTGACAAAGAGTATAGTAGTATATCGCAAGGAGAATATGTGTGATTAAAACGTATTACATTCGCGAATATAGTAGTTTGTTGATGAATTGGATGTAGGAAGATTGGATTGGCTTCGAATTTCAAGTCCAGGCCATGTTTAAAAAGATATCACGTTTGGTTTAAGAACGGTACGAAATGATTAAAACATAATACTTTTAGTGAAAACGGTATAGTGCATCGCAATAAGAATATATGTCATTAAAATATAAATATATATAATATATATGGGCTGGCAGCATTATTTTCCATTTAGTGGAAAAAATATATATAAAATATCAAAACATGTATATAGTATACTAATAATAATATATAACCATAGTAGTATAATATGCATATCATAAATCTTATAATAGCTTAATTTTTTAATGTAAATAGTTTAAAGAAACAGTATTGTCCTGTTTCAGATAAAGACATTGATTAAATAAGACAAACTAAAAATATTGAAATGTTGAATAATGTGTTTTCCAGGAACACATTCCTGTATTTGTATTTAACGGATACGAGGATTTGGAGCTCTTCAGGGAAATTGAGGCTGCGGATCTTGATTACTTGCGCATACATCAGCCAGAACATCGCGCGAAGATACTCACAGCTGTGCAATTATTAAATGACCTTCAATGTGAGTTATTATATCAGATCGTTTAAATTTTTTATTTTTGTAGATCGTGTTTTTATTTTATATTTATTTATTTATTTCTTTATTTATACAAGGACACGCACCATTATTTTTCAATGAAGCGTTTCATAATCATCAGGCTTCATATACTTTATTTTTGTAGTACGAAATTTTTCTAGCCGTACCGAATGATACAGAACTTAACATACTTCGACTTAAATGTAAATCCTACAATAAATACTTTTCGTAGCTGCTGTATAATAGATAACAAAGTACACTATCGCCACATCTCTCACTAGATAATTTATTTCTCCTCGCTAACTCATCATTAATTCATGCACTTCGTCCAAAATCAGACATTACTCCGACCTAATCCAAAGTCACTTACCCCGATCACTTACGACTACACCCGTACTTCGGCCACTTCTAAACGCGCAAAACCAAAGGTAAAATCCGAAACTGTAAGTTGGTTTTTGTTCTGTCCTAATAGCCGGAAGCGAAGGCGATTTAGCTTCGAGCTCGGAGGGCGACGAGGTGAGTCGACTGGTCTTAACCTCTGGCCAGACATCCGGCCATTGTTCACCGTTTAATCGCCGCCAGTTCCCGCGGGACTCCGGTTGTTACGACGCTCACAAGAATTCTACCAGTCGACGAACCGTAAGCCCGGAATCGACCACGACTACCAAGCTGCCCAGAGAGAACAATCTCGACGCTACAGCATCCACGAAGAACGTCAGCGGTGTCAGCACAGAAGGGAGCACTGTTTCCGATAGCAAGGACGACTTTCATCCTAACATACCAATTACTAGCAACGTAACCAGCCAGAAGGAGGGCCAGTTCGACAAATCGCCGTTGCTCCGTAGCGGCAACGTCCGGTTCATCGCGAAGAGAGGGAATTTCGGCGAAACGGTGGTGATAGAGGATACTTGCGAGAGCGGGCAGAAACTCGGCGGCATGGTGAAGTATGTGGTTGGCAGTGGTGACCTTGGCCTCGAAGGTACCGGCAATATCACCGGTTTGGGTCAGAGGGGTTGCCTCAGTGAGAAGTCCAGCGATTCCGGTGTTAGCTCATCCAGCATCAGCTCGGCTCCGCCACCAAGAGATAAAGTTCTCGCCAATGTTGCGTCAGACTCACCTACCAAGAATTTTAGTAATTTCACCAGGGCATCACCGACTTCCCAGCCAGCTACCAATAAGAGTCAAAGCGGTGAGACTAGTTACCAGTAGAGCGCAATACGAGTGAAGTTCGAACGAGACTTATAGAAATTTCCTTTTGCCTTCATACTTTGCACTCTTACGTGTTTCTGTAAATTTCCATTCGCAAATTATTGATGCACTTACGCGCCGTTTCACGCGGAATTTGGACGAACTTTATACATCAACGCGACTGTACAATGGCGACTGGAGAGAGTTCTTCTGCCGCGTCATAAGTACTCTACACTTAATAGGGGTTAGGATATTCGACACGACTTTAGATAGGTGGACTGATAGCAAATATACCATAAAAAACAATTTTGGTATCAGAATTCTTTGTAGGTTCGAATGTTCTGATGAGTATTCGAAGATATATGGAGATAATTATTGAAAGTATGTGGAGTAAGTACAATGTATTAGTAGAATACAATAGAAAGATTGGTATATCGGTACGTCTTGTTTTAGCTCGTTTGATAAGTTGTAGCTTTCCTGTAATATACCGAAGCTATTGTAAAAGATAATAATTATCTATCTAAAATCCGGTTTCAATTAATCAACCTGGTTGTAAGGAAGCTACCCGATGCAAACGATTTCACTTGAAAGGGGATTTTAAGTCAAACAAAAATTCACACTGATTGAAAGATTTCAAGTTACTACTTATATGTCAGGTAACTTGATGTTACAACTTGAATTTAAGCAACTCGACTAATCTCATCAAAGCTTAAAGGAGAAATCTTTGCAGAAAGGTGAATTGTTGAAGCTTATTGAATATAACTGATTGATTATGATCTGAATGATTGAATATGACTGATTGATGATGAGATTGATTATGTAATAATATTTAACATTTTAATTGATTTATCAAGCGAAGATTTATATCGGAAAGCATGAAAATGGTTGTAATTGAAAAACGAGCTTAAACGTAAGATGTATGATTCGTATATGAATCTTTTTATTGTTTTGCTTGAAATCAGCGATATAATGCTGCTCGACGTCCAATATATTCCGTGAATGATGCAGTGCAGGGTTTCTTTCGTTTTCATTCGAGCTTCGAGTCGAAAGAAATAGCACGGTGCTTCGCTAACTTTTATTGCCTTATCGATTCTTTGTCCTCGTTACTTTATAATCAAAAGTCTGCCGCACTGCTCGCCTTCTTAAACGAGAATTTCAACTTTGTTTCGATATTAGATTAGAATATTACGTGATTATTCTCGTTCTGAATTTTCATAACTCTCATTATCGACGAAAAAGATATAAAAAGACAAAATGGGACAAAAAGAAAACTTAAGCATCTTTGACGAGAAAAGTGAGCAAAGTGTTTCGACGTTTGTACTTGTACGTGAATGGAAAGAATTTGGCAGTAATGTTCGACAGGAAACAAATGAAATGCTTGCCATGTCACTGCCAGTCATTTCATGATCTCGTCTATCGTTTTCGACGCTCGTATAATTACTAATAATAATATTGTGATAAGATTGCATTTACGTCTAAATAATTTGTAAATAGGTAAAAATATGCAATAGAAAGATTCGTCTTTGCAATTTGTATACAATACTAAGCTACGAGAACAGAGACTAAAGGAGATGTTTAAACGAGAAAAGACACGTTGATCCGTCGATCCTACTCGACGTTGGGCTTTAGTCAGCTATTTAATCTTTTTCTATAAGAAGTGGCTGATTATTAGCCAGAAACATCTAGATTAAAGACTGCCAACACAATTTAAACTTTTCCATGGGGTATGGTGTTCATTCATTTTTTTCTATGTTCGAGTTTGACTTACTTTAATGCCATAAGAAAGCTAAGTGATAATCGTAATGATCTGTCGTTAAATGTTATAATTTAGAAACATTTTTTTTATTGCCAGTTTTATATATATATAATATTAAAAAAAGCTACTATATATATATATATATATATATATATATATATATATATATATATATATATATATATATATATATATATATATATATATATATATATATATATATATATATATATATATATATATATATATATATATATATATATATATATATATATATATATATATATATATATATATATATATATATATATATATATATATATATATATATATATATATATATATATATATATATATATATATATATATATATATATATATATATATATATATATATATATATATATATATATATATATATATATATATATATATATATATATATATATATATATATATATATATATATATATATATATATATATATATATATATATATATATATATATATATATATATATATATATATATATATATATATATATATATATATATATATATATATATATATATATATATATATTATTGCTTTTTTTTAACTAGAAAATATTTGAAATTCGAGTGTAATCAAGTTGGGTAAAATAGTGGAGTATTAGGTACTTACAAAATGACATTTTTTTCTTCCTTCAATTAAATTTTCTAATTTTTATAATAATGATAATAATAGTAATAATATTTTGTTGTAAATTATATAGCTTCTTCTTCTTCTTATCTCAAACAAATAATCAATTTTATTTGGAGATACTTACTCGAATCTTTGGAAAAAGATAGTCAATTCACGTGAAATTGTATAACGAGTTGTTAAATCGAAAGTTTATTTATCGAAGTTCCTTGTACAATAATATTTTGTCCAATCTTGTAACACAATTGACTTCATCGATGTTTTCTATTCTTTCGATGCTAATATTTTATTTGAAAGAACTACATTATTAGTACATGATCGACAATCCCCATCATCGATGCAACTTAGTTCTTCGACAAGATGGTAAATCTGTACATGTGTATATTGACTATACCTGCAAAAGAGAGAAAAAAAAGACGTTCAAAGTTATAAAGTTTTTGTATGTACATATACAGCACGCATAGAAACCTAACGATGTTTTATATTGATCCAATCCTTTGCCAAAACTTTAGACTATACAAATCTCTATACATAAATATACATATGTTACATATATCATACCGTTGGTTCTTATGTATATCTTTTGTATAGTGTAAAATGATAGACGAATTTAAAAAAAGAATAAAGCGACGCAGTACGAGATCAGGAATGAAAACCGATGGGAATTCGTGAATAAAAAGAAAACAACAAGAAATTATCAAAATGGTACGATTATCAAAATACTGTCTAAGAACTCTATTATACTGTAAATAGAATATATAAAAATATATATTCGTTTCGAAAGGATAAATGAAACACACAAAAGCGATTCGATGACTATCCAAAATAGCGGACTGATGAGCAAATGTTAGGAAATCTTTATATAGGCTTTTAAGATGCATGTTTATCTTCTTCATTATTATCGATTTACAAGGTAGTTGTTAGAAGGTTTATCCCTTTTTGTAACAAGTCTGTTACACTTTTTCGTACGACCATTGACGAATAGAGCATCGATTCTACGTAGAAACGAAACTTTCTAGGAATATGTGAAACTCTAAACCATGATTTGACTCGGGGAGATCCCGGAGAATAAATAAGTTGACACACGCTGCTTCCATGATAATAGCGATTGTTTAAATACGTACTTTATCAATATACCGCATTAAGTGATTTGTATTGCAAGGTTCGATCGTGTCCAAGCGACGAGACGAAAGTTGATTTACGTTGATCTTGAACATGACATCAAGTGAGGTTGATATTTCCAACGGAGACGCTATACGAAGAAAGAGAGAACAATTTTACGAATTTTTGCAGAACGAATTATGAAGCCAAAATCCTCGTTACTTCTTGTACGCAAATTACGGTAATGGCATAGTTTGTCCGTTCCATCGAGAATAATATTACGTGTAGAGGACGAATCAAAAAAAAAAAAAGAAAAAAATATATAAAAAAATAAAAAACGTAAGAACGAAACAGTAAAGCAGAATGAATAGTGGCGACGAGCGAGACTAAATGGAAAGAAAGAGAGTGAGGAAAAAAGAGAGAATGTGAGAGTGCATGGAAAAAATGTTAAAATTAGTAACGTTTTGAGAGTATGATTAGATGCAATACAAATAATTTTATTAGTTCGAGAAAAAGTACGCAACATTTGATGTAAAAAAGTCAGATTCGTTATAAAAATAGATGCAGTGAATTATAATCGAAATAAGTAATTTGAAGAGATAGATACGTGAGGGTAAAGGTGTCTTAGTAAAAGCATTAAGTGTGTTTGCGATTCGGATTTCGTACGAATGTGAAGTGAAACGAACGGACGGTATCCATCTTGATCTAAACGATCGATTAATTGAGAAAAATGTGTGGTCACCGTGAGGAAATTCGACGAAAGCACGGTGGTTTAAGAGAGTCGCTAAATCGCTAGTGAAAATGAAAATAAAAATTATTAAGCATCTACTTAGCGGTCTAGTCCATTTTTTCTTGCAAAGTTTACAATTTGATGCGATATATGTATAATGTACATAAAGTAAGGAAATAAATGAAAAAAAGGAAACAGAATTAGGAAATGGCAATCGCGTCGGCGTGAGTTGCTGAAACCTTTTTATAAGCTGATTTTATATTTATTGATTAATTGCGGGTTTTATAGAGGTAACGAATTCGTAATTCTTATCGTCTCTCAGTTCTTGTATGGTTTCCAACAAGTGTTAATTTATTGACTGTGAATAGAAATAAAATGGCGGAAGATTCAAACGAATGACGTTGTTTTTGCTCCCCAATCTCTTATCGCTTCTATATGTGATAATTATTATAATTAGTTCGTGGATGTTCATGCATTTATAGGAAATTTAATTGGAAAAATATGGAAAAATATATAAAATATTCAAAGTGAAATGCTTCTTATATTTAAAGAATGAAACAAATTTTTATCTAGCGATATATTCATGAAAATATGATTTTGCAGAAACATCCACAGGCTGCAGAGTATATAAAAGTATAATTCTATGTAATTCAGTATTTATAGGTACAATCACACATGTAAGTATATTATTAATTCCTAATCTATTGCCAACCAAATGACAATGAATCAGAATTCTATGTTCAGAAAATAATTTTTCAAATAGCTAGATATTGAGCTGTATTATAAATTATATCAGCAATTGGCCCAACAATGAAGAAGGAAGCTTCGAGTAACGAATGATTCATCCTTTACTGATCCTTTAGTGGCAACTGAACAAACTTTATACATTGGTTGTTTGCCTTGATCTTTACAAGGGTTTCTCTCTAAGTGGAAACTCTTGAAAATGAAGTTGTTTCTTGTATTACACTCGACAGTGGCAATTCGATTATCAACCGTCTTATAATTAAGACATAATATGCTTATACTTGCCGGAAGTTGATCAATGCACTTCTCTCTTTCGAGTATAAAACCACTTGAACTTATCATATCAGTTTACTGTAATTTTATATATTTAGACTAAAGTTATAATATATTGTTTAATAATAATAATATATTCATAATTTTGGTTAATTTGAGTGTTTATTAAAAATATCAAAAAGCAATAACATTTTCATTTATTCCATTGATTCAAAATGACAGTTGAAGTATACCATGATAAATAAAGAACGTATCTAATGGGGATAATAGAGAGGTTTTCCAAGAGTGATATAACAATGGTACGAAACGGAGGAGACAGTAAGTTCATAATTTATTCAAAAAGCATTAGATCAAATGAAGAATGGAGAGATGAACAAATGAAAATGTACCAATACGTAGGTACCTCGTTCCGGTAGAATCGGTTTAAAACAAATGAAAATAAAATAATCAAAGCTGTGTAATATTCTCTGGGATATTCTAGTACCTTTACGGGTTTATGGTTTTTCGTGAATAAATCCATATTTATATTTGTTATCAGAAATATTGATAAAACGCGAAATATCACAGAATGTCAATGTGCAAAGTGGGTAGGATTGATTTTGCAAAAGATCTGTTGCATTTAATCCATTATCAGAATACATTAGGGAATTCATTATTAGAATTTCATGTAAAATGTGCCGCATAAATCATAATGTAGTGGACATTATGAAAATTATAAATTTTTCTACTGTTTTGTGGAATATCAAGAACTGACAACTTTGTAATCGCATAAGTGATCACGTAATATAACTTTGGAGCAAATTCTTTTGGAGCAAAGATAGGAAGATACTGCCAAAAATGCAAACATTCGAAACTCAGATGAAAACAGAGTACACGGAATATAGTAAATTAGGAACAGACGATGTCAAAGTTAATCAGAAGAATTTAGTCGTAGTGTTTCCATTCGTTATTCACTCGGTTGTGAAAAAACATTTCTCAGATTATACGTGCGAGCTTTTAGAGATGAAAAATGCAGAAAATACGCTGTCAGAGTGCACAGTTGGTCTTTTGAATGGGGCTCGTTCACCGAAAAGTGTGTCATAAAAGGGATGCTCGTCAGTCGAATGAACTTTCAAAGAAAATGCGATAAAAAGCGTTTAGTAATGTATGTAAATGCACCCTCCGAGAATCATTTCGAACGTTACGGCATGTACGTGTCTATTCGTAACCTTTATTTGAGACCCGTAAGAGAACTCGAGTTACTTTTAGTATAGTAGATTATGGCGGTAATAACCCGACAAGTTTCTTTTCCACGCTAACGGCGGCTACCGCGTAAGTAAATTCGTTGCCCGTTGGGGTTGAAATCTAATTTAACTTTTAAAGTCACCCGGCGAAATTACAATGATTTCCGACAATACCGGATTGCCGCGTGTGTGTAACTTTTTAACTTCCCCCTATTCGCCAATTTTCTTCGAACGATGAGACGAATAATTGGAAATATATTCAGCCTTCTCCGAGATTTTCTCGGAAAAATGGAATTTCATTTTTAAATATTTGGTATATAACTTAAGAACTGATTATCCTTGTTGATATGTAA